CCTTCTTTCATTCGGAACATTTCGTACTCTTGGGTGAGAAAATCGATCTTGGCTTCACGAACTTGATCGGTACCTTCGTACGTCACTTCAAGCTTGTCCCACATCTCCTTGGCGGTTGTGCAACAGGAGATCTTTCGGTAGTCATCGGGGTTGACCGCGCAATATAGCATGTTGATGGCCTTTGCATAGTTTTCAATCTTCTTGATGTCCTCGGCATCAAATTCGTTTTCGGTCTTTGGGACCGTGGTTTCTCCCACTTTCTTCATAGGGATTTCTTCGCCATTTTTGATCACCAACCACAATTGGAAGTTGGTAGAACGAATGTAGATTCTCATCTGTTCCTTCCAATAAGAGTACTTGGTGCCATCAAAGAGTGGTGGCCTAGAGGTTGATTGACCTTCTCCAATTCCTGCATAGAGATTTCTAGAAGAAGAACCCATGATCGCTTTACTCTCAAACGGTTAAGTTTGGACGTGAGTTAGGCTCCGATACCAATTGTTAGGATAGTAGACCAACACTAGAGGGGGGGGGTGAATAGCGTTTGATCAAAAAACGCAGGAATAAAAAATGAATAAACGAGAAGTAAAGAGAAGAGTAAGAGGCACACCGATTTTACCCTAGTTCACCACAACTTGTGGCTAATCCAGCCTCCCGAGAGACTCTCTCGAGCTACACTACTATCTCGTTAAGCTTAACGGTGCTTAACAAACCCGTACAACTTGAGAGTTCGAGCCACACGAACCTCAACGAACCTTCGAAGGAAACAGCCCTTCCTTCGAACAACAAGAGAGATACTTTCTCTTGTCAAGTGTCTAAGAACACTAAAAACACTCAAGAACAATACTCTCTTTTAGAGTGGATAATGAGTAAACTAAGAACGCTCAAGAACACAACACAAGCTTCACAAAAATGTCTCTCAAAAGCTATGAATTATTGAAGAATGATTTGCAATGAAAGAGTAGGAGTTGTGAAGTAAATGTGATGTGTAAAACAGACCCAAACACCCCATTTTATAGTAGAAAAATAGGCTCCAACGGACCAAAGTATTTAAGGGGTGATTGGCACAATTTGTGGGATTTGATGAAATTTGAATCTGTTGAAATTCACCGAGACAGCGCTGTCCTAGGCTTGGACATCGCTGTTCTAGGCTTGCGTTTTGAAAAATGGGAAGCAACGGTCATGCCAACAGCGATGTCTAAAATCCCTACATCGCTGTTTTGCCTGTTGACTTCCAAACAAGGAAAGTTTTAGCCTTAAATTCCTTCTAACGGTCAGGTCTCTACATCGATGTTCCATACTAGAACATCGCTATTTAGGTCTGCCTTTGAAGATGGAAGTTTGGCCTAACAGCGCTGTTGCTGGGTCAACATCACTGTCCAAAAACTTTCTGCCAATGCACTATATTTTTGGCTTAGGTTGGACAGCGCTGTAGGGAAGCCTACATCGCTGTTCTAGAAGTTTCTGGAAATCCAACCTTGGCTCAACAGCGATGTCTAATGTCCAACATCGCTGTTGGAGGACTTAACGCCAAACCATGTTTTTAGCTACCCAAGCCAGACAGCGCTGTTGGTTACCTCAACATCGCTGTTGGGCTGGTTTAGCCAGACCCATGGTTGGTTTAGTCACGCCGTTAGCCGATGTCAAAAACACAAGTTCTCCAAAGTAAAAACCAAGTATTGAAAACATTTTTTTATTGCATTTTGCTAAGAAATCAAGTAAAACATTTTAAAAACCACGTCATTTAGTTGAAAACCACGGCTAACCAAGTTCGTGCCGTTTCGCATGGTTTTCACTAAACGACCAAAAAACGGAAAGTGGTTTTTGAGGCGTTTTTGTTGGAGAACTATTTAAATATGCCCAGAAGTAAAAACCAGTCATAAAAAGTTGAAAACCACTTGGTTGGTTGGGACGTCAAAAACCAATGCCGAAAATCAAAAGCCGAACGCCGATTTCTGAAAACCGAACGCCGGATGGCTTGGTTTTTGGTTTGGGCGAACTCCAAGTGTTTTTAGCCTAGTTTAAAACTTAGGAAAAATATTTTTGAATGTGCAAAAGAAATTTTGATGAATTGAGCCTAGAGAGCCAAGATTTGGAAGTTTGTGCCGGTCTTGATCACATTAAGACCGACTCAATGTAATTCTAATTCTTCATTCTTGATTCTGGGTTCTTGGTTCTCAAATCATCATGCCATGTTCCTTCGCCTTAGTTTTGCTCACTTTAGCTTTGATATGTCGCGGCGGTTTGGCATTATCAAAACCTGTCATAAAGACGAACACAGTTTAGTACGACGTAGGCGTAAACCCGTGTTCCAGCACTGAAGGCCGTCATCTCCAGCCAGTCAGCAACGGACGACCGCCGGTCAACCATGGTCGACCGTCACGGTGATCCGCCGACGCGATGAAGATCAAGGTCGACCACCGCGCCAAACGGTCGACCGTTCCGAGCCCTGTAGCTTATTTAAATGATAGTTTTATCATGTTTCACCTAAATAAATTAATGTATGTTTACATATTCATATTGTTTACAAATTTTTCATATTATATGATTCATTTCATCATCCATATTGAAGCATATCACATCATATGCATGCGTATGAGATCATGCCTTGTGCGTCTCTTATAGCGCGGTTGTGCGGGACTTAGCAGTCCGACATCCCTGACCGGGCTTAGTGTATGTACATGGTACTCAGGCTTTCGAGTATCACCCCTATTTTTCTAGTCTCCCTCGTGAGACTAAGGTGGCATGAGTTCGTCGTACCAAATGGGCGAATCTCATAGTGCAAGGTCGTTCCTTGCGGGTTATACGTTCATGCTTCATGTAATCATCATCAATTACATTGATTACATAGGTGTCATGTAATCATCATCAAGAACAATTATATTGATTACATAGGCGTCATGTAGTCATCATCAAGAACAATCAAATTGATTAAATTAATGTGCCATCATGTAATTATCATTGAATATTTATCATCATGATTCACCAAATTGATCATATGATATAATGTGCCATATCATGAATATTGTTATACATTTTTGTAGACGTATATATATGTATATGTATATGTCTGTGAATTATTTTACAATTCTAGCGTGGTACCACTTAGCGGTTTCGCTGAGCGTGTAGTTTGTATTTTTTGTTGACTACACGTAGGTAACAAGAAGACAAGAATGGAATAACTCCCGGAGGGCATTGAGTCAGAGGAGATGCGAGGATGGCAGGCAAATGTTTGGTCATCAGATTTTAAATGTGTCATGATTTGATTATTATTGTACTTTCGCATTACTCTGAAAATATTTTTAAATGGGTCGCGATTTAGAGTCTGTAAATTTAATATTTATAAGAAATTGTCATTTTCAAATGTCAAGAGAAATTTTTATTTATCTCTTGTTTCACCTTAATTCGTGTAATTCCGGATTATATGGATTGGGATGTTATAGACACTTTTTGAATCTTTTTGGAGGTTACCCTGTCCCTATCCCTATTTATTCAATCACATCTCGTTTTTACAAAAGAAGAACACTCAAAGATACTTTCACTTCATCTATCCTTTGATTAATTCAAAGAGTTCTATCCAATCTATCATCCTCCAACTCAATTTTTCAACCACTTCTTTGAGCAATCTTTTTCAATTGAAGTTTGCAGAGTTTGGTGTGCCATACACTATAAGTTGATTGTAATCTATAACATATCCGCTCTTGTACGAAGAGTTATTTCCGCTGTGCAATTTGTTTTGTAAGTTTTAAATTGTAAAAACTTGAATTTGAAACGATTCAAGTTTTTGGATTGAAATCCAAAGTCTTGTGAAATCAAGACTTCGGTGGAAAGATTAGAGACTTGTGAAATCAAGTTCTCGAGTTGTATTCGGATTGTTAAACTCCGTTAAGTTTAACAAAGATTAGTGGAATCTTGGGCACGTTTGCCTGGGGACTGGACGTAGGCATTAGGCCGAACCAGGATATATCGGTGTCTCTTTGCATTCATTTTTTTTATATCTTTATATTTTTATTCCTGCATTCCTCTTGCCTTGCGAAAAATTTTATTATTTCGTGAACACCTCTATTCACCCCCCCCCCTCTAGAGGTGTGAAAGGCGACTAACAAAATCGTCATGTCAATAAGTATAGTTGAGACTTATGTACTAATCAACTTTCACTATAATTCAAATAACAACAACATTAGACAATTTTTTTAGCACATAACATTATTTTAATTATAAAAAAAGGGAATGAGACCATAACCGAAATCACCATTTCCGGCACCATCACCACCGGAATCCGGGAACGAGGGGTAGGTGCTACTTGGCTTTACCGAAACTGCCGGTTTTAGAACCGGAATCGGACCGTAGCTTCAATTAGTTGTTAGGCCCACTCTCTAGGCCATGTTAAGCTCGAACGCAGATCTCGTCCGGCCAGCGGTCTGGTGAGGTCCCCATGCGTTGCCACATAATCGGATCTAGCTTACTAAAAAATAGAATTAAGTTATTTGTACTCCAAAAGTTATGCCCCATTTTGTAGCACAAAGGCATGCACTAATATTTTAGGCTAGTGTAATGTTTGTGAGTGTAATGTTTGTGTGATGGTTTACAATGACACAAAATATCAGTGACTATTTTTTTATTACACTAGCATTTTATGTTAATGTGAATCGTGAAAAAATCTGAACATCTCTTCGAGGTACAATTAGAGTACATTTTTTGGTGTACTCTAACTAAAAAAAATAATGCATCCAAACAAGTCATTAGAGGCAGCGTGCATATGGTTGGTAAATGCATTGGAGAGGTAAAAAGCTACTGGCGGGATCCATGCATACAAACGCCTTCCCTCTTTCAGCGCCGCTCACCTCGTATAGCCTTGTTTCCGTGTCACAAGAAAGCTCCAGTCTTGAAACCACCGTCACTGGAAACCACCTCCATTGCCACCGCCATCATCAATCCTTTCCTTTTTTGTGACCAATTTTTTTCAGATAACGACAATCCTGTTTTCCATATTTAGCTTCTCTGGACATATTAAAGTCGATCAATGGATCTGGTCTCATCCCCGGTGGGTTTTTCACCGCCTCATTAGAGCTCTGGTTTCCGTGAAACGTCCGAAATTTCAATTTGATCTACTCTTCTATTCTTTTTTTCTTCTTTTAATTAGAGAGGTTTGGGTAGGGTTTGGAGCTGTAAATCTCTGGCGAGCTGCATTTGTGTGCTGTTCGACGTTCAGTAGCGGAGATCGTCTGGTTTTTGGGAGAGGCATCCAAAGAACTTGCATTGAATCATGGACAAGAAGTATCCGATTGGACCTGAGCATTATACTCTTTACGAGGAGGTCGGCAATGGAGGCAGCGCATCTGTTAATCGGGCTCTCTGTAATCCCTTAAACGAGATTGTAGCTATCAAAATCCTTGATTTCGAACGCGATAACTGTGATCTGGTATTCCTTTTGTTGTATACTTATTTCGCTCTCTGAAATTTTAAAACTTTTGTTTCTACTGTGGCTAACTGGTGGCTTGATTGTTGCACTGTGTACATTGCTGATTTAATTGGAAGCGTATGTCTTTGTGTTGTTTTTGTCTCCTTATATTATACATGTTGTGTATTCTTAGAGAATACAATACCAACAACAACAACAACAACAACCCGGTTATATCCCACAAGAGTAGGGTCTGTGGAGGGTGTGTGTACGCAGACTTACCCCTACTCGAAAGTAGAGATGCTGTTTCCAAAGAGACCCCCGGCTCAACACCAAAACCTAGTAAAATCTGAACTCCCTTTGGGTCTTACTTAGGGTCTGGGCTAAGATGTACACATTTATGCTAAGATGTCCCTTTGGGTCATTTTAATTTAGTCTATTTTTTACTTGAAGTTAAATAATTGTCAATAATGATTCTTTTAAGCTCCATTGGAAATAAACAAATGTATTGTGTAATATTTATGTTTAATACTCTATCCGTTTGCCTTTAAGTGTCTAGTTGATTTTTGGATACACTGAGACATTGTCTTTAAGATTTTTAAAAAGAGAACACACAGAATATTATTGATATAAGACTTACAAAGTTACAATGCTCTACTTCGTCCATGTGTGCTTTCTTTTCTACTGTGTAGCATATTTTTTTTCTTTTTGGAGAATGCCTTATGTTCAAATTTTTCTTAAAAAATTAAAAGTAGAAATACCAACCATTTATGATATTCAAAAGTTCTTGCTACTCGTATTTTTTTTAATTTAACAAACTGAATCAGAGTAATGCCATGGTGACATGTAGTTTCCTACAAAGCTACTCCGTATAATCATTTCACTAATCTGACAAAGGAGAAACATTGTTATGATACTATAATGCTAGATTCCTTCTTTGTCCTCTACTCAAAATACTCTCATTGGCCTGAGGTTCCGTTTCCATCCCCATGACTATGATTTTCTTTTTTAATGAAAATGATAAGCCGCAAGACATCATCTTATTGTTTATGCAGTGGAGTTATTTAAAAAATATATCAGTTGTTCCCGTCAATTTTTCGACATTATATGAAATAATGGTTTATTTTTCCTTTTTTGCTTTGCGTTTTGTCTCCAGAGTAATGTCTTCAGGGAAGCTCAGACAATGATCTTAGTGGACCATCCCAATGTTCTAAAATCTCATTGCTCTTTTGTTAGTGATCACAATTTGTGGGTTGTCATGCCTTACATGGCTGGGGGTTCCTGTCTTCATATATTGAAAGCCGCTCATCCAGATGGTTTTGAAGAAGTTGTCATTGCCACTATATTGCGAGAAGTGTTAAAGGGCTTAGAGTATCTTCATGACCGTGGCCATATTCATCGTGATGTGAAGGTTAGTATTTAAATTTGATATAGCCTGTGGCAGAGACTTAGAGTAGTTTCTTTCTTTAGCTGATTTTTCAGAATGTTTGAAACTAAAATTGCTAATAACTTTCTGATTATAATATTTTTTTGAGTGCTTCTAATTATAATATTTAGTTTTTAATGCATTGTAAGAAAATGAAAATCTCTTTGCTATGTAATTCGGAATAGATATTGCATGAATGCCTTTTTATTATAATAGCAGTATCACTTTGTCCAGTATTTAAGTAGTCACATAAACTAATATGTAAATTAAAAATTCCCTGATTCTACTGACCCGTGATAATGCTGAAAGATTAAAATTTTACGCTCTGCAAAATTTGTTTTTGAATTCCTCAGGCTGGGAACATTCTCTTAGATGCACAGCGTGGTATTAAGCTAGGAGACTTTGGCGTCTCTGCTTGCTTATTTGATTCTGGTGACAGAACACGCATGAGAAACACATTTGTTGGTACTCCTTGTTGGTGAGATCTATTTATCCATAATACTTGTGTATATTCAACAATTTTCTTTTGATTAAACTAATCAGTAGGTTCATCATTTGAACAGAGGCACACCTGTATAAATATATGTGAATTTTTTGCTTATCATTTCATCTTTCAAAAGATTGAACCTTGATGTTCTTGATTGCGTTTTCCAACCTTGTGAGTCATTGTGAGAATCAGTGAACGGTTATATCCATGACTTGTTCTTTGGTTGGTATTTGGTTGAAAGTATTAATTTTTTCTTTATATACGGATACTATTAATGGTTATATTTTCAGGATGGCACCAGAGGTAATGGAACAATTGCATGGTTACAATTTCAAGTAAATGAAATTGGAATTGACTTTTTTGCCTCATAATTTTTTTTGTCTTCAAACATAAAATTTCTTTTCCTTTCTTTATATTTGCAGAGCAGATATTTGGTCTTTTGGTATAACTGCTTTGGAGCTTGCACATGGGCATGCACCTTTCTCAAAATATCCACCAATGAAGGTGCATCACTGCAACATGGATTAAACTTCACATTTATGGTTTTTGTTGGATTATTTTAGTAAACAGAAATTATTCATCAGGTACTGTTAATGACATTGCAAAATGCGCCTCCTGGCCTTGATTATGAGAGAGACAAGAAGTTCTCGAAGGTATTTTACCAACAAATATCATTTTGAGATATGTTGGAATAATATGGTCGGTTGGCATGTTTTACATGTTTCTCTTGTCATTTTTAGTCGTTTAAGCAGATGATTGCTAGTTGTTTGGTAAAAGATCCTTCAAAAAGGCCCACAGCTAAAAAGCTGTTAAAGCATTCTTTCTTCAAGCAAGCTCGGTCAAATGATTATATAGCAAGAACATTGCTGGAGGGCTTGCCAGATCTTGGTGACCGACTTAAAGCTTTGAAGGTTACTTCTGAGGCTTAGATGCATTTTTTCGTTTTCTTGTCAAAGGCATTTCCCACTAAATCAAAACTAATATTTTCTTACTAATTGTAGAGAAAAGAAGAAGACATGATGGCACAACAGAAGATACCAGATGGACAGAAAGAAGAAATGTCTCAGGTTTGATTTTATACAATCAACATCCAAAGTAAAATGTAAACACACAGATTGGATTTTGTAACAATAATAAAAGTGATGTTTTTAATTTTTGGCGAGATTTTAGTTATGAAAAAAGTGTTTTAATGTGTGTACTTGGTTATTATGAAAAATATCTCAAAAAGAAGCTAATGACACTCTAAGATCGTAACCGATAATAAAATATAAAATAACAACCTTTTTACGGAGTATTAATCAACATACTAAAATATTGCAATGTCAGGGTTATTGTGAATCTCATTGAGGCAATTCTTAAAAGCTTAATTGTGCATGGTAATTTGAAGTATCTGTGCTTTATGAAACACCTGATATTATCTCAAATATTGCAATCTTGCCTGATTTGTTCAGGACAAAATATGCTTATGTTAAAGTTGATGTTTAAAAAAGGATTTGCTTTTTAACACCCTTTCACTTTTGCAGGAGATTGAGTGCCTTTGTTGTTTATTTTTCTCTGCAGCTTTTTCATATGCTTCTAAATATGTGCAGAATGAGTATAAGCGGGGGATAAGTAGCTGGAACTTCAACCTAGATGATCTAAAGGCCCAGGCTTCTTTGGTATAAGAAATAGTTCTTTGCTCTGTTTATAGTCAATTTTCACAATCCTATAGATTGATAACAAAAAGGAGAAGAAGGAACATGACTTGTGTATTTCAGTTGTCTGTTTTTTAATAATTAAATAACTTTTATTTGATCTACAATTCTGCATTGCGTTCCCCACTTTCCGCTTTTCAGATTCCAGAAGAGGAGGCAATTTCCGAAAAGGATCCTGGTGGGGACTCAAATTCATACACGGGGCATGACACCCCTGAAAAACTTCAAAATCAGCTCTTTTCGGTTAACCGAGTTCCAAAGCTTCAACATCAGTTTTCATTTTTAAGTCAAAGTTCGGATGCAGAGATTGTACGCGAAATCCATCTTTCTTGTTCTGATATTATTCTGTTTTCATTTTTAAGTCAAAGTTTGGATGCAGAGATTGCATACGAATTCCTTCTTTCCTGTTCTGATATTATTCTGTTTTAAGGCTTGCCCCTAATATGACACATATCTTCCCAGGATGATAACAATCAATCTGCTCCTCTTTCACCTGCTAACAGTACATCCACTTGTAATGTGTACGCTCCCCTCTTCCCACCAATCTTAAAAATTACTTATTTGTAACATTTTTGGCAACAAATTTACCATTATATATAACATCATAATGATTTTTTGTGCAAGTTTATTGATCAGCAATCCCTTGCTACTTAGAAAATTTTGCTTTTTGTTGTCTAGGATGAGCGTAACTGGTGGACTTACACATTGCAGGTCTAAATGTGAAAAATCAGATGATGACATTAAAAGCATTCCCAGTGAAATGTATGACCATGAAACTTCGCGAGGCTGTTCTCTTTCCAACACTTACATTGAAAACAATTTACTTGGAAAATCTGAATTAGAAAATGATGCAAAGTTCTCAAATGGCACACCTGCATGTTCATGGCCTAGGCATGTTTTCCTGTTCGTTTTGAGATGTTTGATTTCATATATAGAAAATGTGTGGGGTAATCCTCCTTTTAAGTGGTGGTTGCCTATTGATATCGACAGTTATAGAGTCCATATACTAACTTGGAAAGGTTTCCATTTCTTGGGAAAGTATGAAACAGAAAATAGAAAACCTGTTTACTTTTTCTATTTAACAAATTCAGAAAACATACATTAAAGCATGTTTACTCTTTCTGTTAATCTGCTTTCCAAATTCTGAAAACAGAAAAAAGAAAATAAGTTTACAAGTCTTTGAAATTTTATAAATATAGAACTTTTCAGACTAGAAATCACTTTTTTATGCTTTCCAAAATAGAACTTAGTTTACTTAACTTAAATAGAGTAATAAAACCCTTACATTTTGAGTGGCAATCCTTTTCTAATACTTTCAGGGATAAAGTTCCACCTCAAAACATATCAGCTCCCAATGGTGTTTCCGTTCCTCAAATAGTAGATCAAATGCCAGCTGAAACCTGTAACAAGCCTTTGATAACATCTGGTACATTATATAGTGCGTTATTCCCTTTTTTCATTTCAAAAGTGTTTAGTTTTTTAAGTAGACTGTATTTTTCATTGGTTATGATGGATGTTTATCATCCGAATACAATAACTGTTGAAGGTAAACATGAAGATGAGAATACAAAAGGCCATGTTGTTCAACAAAAAGGACGTTTCAAAGTTATGTCTGAGAAACTTGACTCAGAAATGGTGAAATATAACAATCCAAACTTTGGTTCTTTTAATTAAAGCAAGCAATTTCTATGTTGGTTTTAGACCTTTTTTTTCCATGTAGGTTGCTCCAGCTCCAGTACTACAGAAAAGCCATAGCATGGCGGTTGCTCATCTATCTATCCACTCTTCTGTTTTTTCTTTTATTCAATTTGATTACATGATCCTTCTTCATTTTTCTAGACTGAAATGTTCTTAGCAAGTATCATAAGATGAGATTGTAAGGGTACCCAAGTAGTGTGGGGGTGTGATCATATTTAGATGTTTGTGCTTAATGAGATGTTTGAAATGAGTGCAGGTGATTCCTCAACATCCACCCATGTCTCATTCATTGTCTACGGATGCTATGCTACCAAATCTTCATTCACATGCATTTCTTCCAGTATTGCAAAATATGTTGCAGGCAAATATTATAGAAAGGGTAGAGTCTGGCTTTAAATTGATACTTAATCACTGCCATTGTTGTCATGGATATTCTAAATTTTTTTCTTTTGTCAGGAGAATATTCTTAATTTGATGAGGCTAGTCTCTGTTGGAGAGGCACCAGGTATAGCAATTAAGAGACCTTAGAATATGCGTTTATAAGATATTAGTTCCTCCATTTCATAATTGGGTGTTCTCACAATCTTTGGAATGAAGTTCTAGAATGCGTTTAAGTAGGACCTCTTTTAGTGTTTCTTTATTAAGAGATATAAACTGATAGGTGTGGGTAGAAAAAGTGAAAAAAATGGAAAAGAAGTGGGCGAGTAAAATATTGGGAGTATGTCTAAATATTTTCTTACTTGAGACATTCAGTAAACCGTGCAGTGGATGGGGCAGAGTTTTCGTTGAATGCGGTATCAGCAGAGAAATCATTGGTATGCGGCTTTAATTACTCTTGTCATTTCTGTGTTCTATTAGAACAAACATTACATGAGTTAACTTTGCCATTGTATACATGCAATTTGGTGTCATTTGATAAATGTGCTTTCGACCACCATGTCTTTTGATAGTAGTTAAATACATAATCCCAATTAAAGAATGTGGTTAAAGTATCCCTTCTGATTGGGAGGATTTGCTCCCTCACTAAGAGTATAAAGATAATTAAGAGAGTTACAAAATGCTGTGCTGATGGTGATTTATTTTTCCTTCGGAGGAACCCGTGTGGAACTGGTAACATGATCTGGAAAAACGACACTTAAAAAAAAACTGTAGAACATGTAGACACAAAGCTAAAATGCATGTAAATCTTCAACATATAGGGGTATATATGCAAAACCTTTTCCCTTATGAATATACGTACTATAATTATAAATTGACAAATATTTCACATGTTACATGATTAGAGATTTTGCCATGCCTCAAAGATACCTAAACCAAACATGGAATGCGTTGTTGAATTCTTGAGTGAGGTTGATCTTTCATATTAGTCGCCATTTAAAGATATGTTTCTTTTTTAGATATAGATAGCTATGTAGTTCTTTATCTACACACATCCCCAAAACATCAGTGAGAAATGTCCCTTTTACGGAACAGTTTTCAAATTTTCTTCTAGTAAAAGAAATGGAATAATCCAAACGAGTGTAGAAGTGACATCTATTGAAGATAAAATGAGGAAGAATAGAGTGTAGTTGCTTGGTCACACACAAAGAAGGCCTAGTGACTCACCGGTCAGAAGACTTGGCAAAAGAAGGTGGTGGAGACCCAAAGACAGTTTATTAGAAGCGATTTGTCCAATCTGAGTCTGTAGTATGGTGAGACAGCGTTTATGTGAATGACAGAGTAGGATTTTTATCGAGCCACTCACTCTTTTGGTTGTCATTGTTGTGTTCATAAAATTATTCCAAAACTGAGGCGACATGACGAATCATGCGTGTTGCAAATGATGTTCTGTTCGTACTTGTGTTGGTAAATAAGTTCACAGCAGAGATTACTGCTAAGTTGGAACCATAGATGAGGAGAATCATGAGGCATTATGATCAAACAAATAGTATTTGTAGTTTAAATTGGACACCACTAATATTAAAAAACAAAGCGGGGTGGAATTTGAAGGGATATATGTATTAGTAAGCTATTCTTTCAAGTATGTGTGAAGGTAATGATAATATTGATGGTTATGGTAATAGTGATCAAGATCATACACAGTACCAATGCACACTGGTTAATATGGAGATGGATAGCGGAACTAATGTGATCTTAATGTTGGGTCTTTGATAGGACTGCCATAACATCAGTTAGATTAGGAAGTTAGGCTATCAAAGCAGAGTTCATGGATAAACGAGTGCATTCTAATTTGGAAAGTTGGAGTAGAAGATAATCAAGATACACATAGATGATGCATTAATAAGATATCATTTTGAGTGTGTGTGACCCAGTATACAAAAGAATGGTGATGGTATTTAAGGCGTGATGTGCACCGATGCGCAAGGGAAAGGCGCATCTGATGCGCGTGCATCATGAACACGATGCGCATATGTAGGCACAAGTAGCATAGCATCGCTAAAGTAGTAATAACACACATAAGATGTTGAAAAGCATTTAGAAAACAACCAAGAATCAAATTCAAACAGAACCATGGGCAAATGAAAAGGGTTAAAATACAGCATATGTACTTAGATTTCTAGAAATAAACAAACTTCTTATATGAACATTGGATAAAACTTTGCTGGAAAACAAAAAACAAAAAACTGCCAATCGCTTGAACAGAACAAAAAAATTATTCAAAAAAAAAAAACTGATTGCAGCTACTCCTGATAGGTACTTAGGTAGAAGTAAAACTAGAAAGAAGTCTAGAAGAAGAAACATATTTGAAAAAAAAAAACATACAGTTTAATAATAAAAATAACCCCCCAATAAAAAGAGAAAATAAAATCCAACCTGAGAGTCGATGCTGTGAGTAAAGCTGTACGAGTTCTAGTCCATGAGAGGCTGCGATTAGAGAGGCAGCAATAAGAGAGGGAGCGATTAGAGAGGCAGAAGAGAGTCAACTGCGATAGAGAGGCAGGAGAGAGTGTATTGCGACTTGCGATAGAGATGCAGGAGAGAGTGTATTGCGACTTGCAATAGAGAGGCGGAAGAGTAAGCGTCAACCCTATTATAATACGGACCGTAAAATTATAACTGATGGTACAGCGCCTGCATCACATCGCCTGATGCACTTGGTCCTGCGCATCGCACCTCAGGCACGCTTTTTACAACTGATGGTAATATTGATCAAGATCATACACAGTATCTATGCGGCTTGCAGGTTGGCTAAGATGGAGATGTATAACAGCAGTGTGATCTCAATGTTCCATCCCTGATAGGCAGCCATGCACTCGGTTAGATTTGGAAGTTTTGCTATTAAGGAAGATTTAATGAATAAAATGACAGTAGTGGGAAGTCTCTATACATGATATACGTAGATAATGTTAGACAGAGCCATCTATGTAGGCTTGGACATAATTTCTTGCCAAGAGGTGAGTATTCCAATATGGTTATTCTAATTTGCTTAAGATTAAAACTTGACTAATGGTGTTGTTATATTAAAATGGTTACTTGTTTGTGTATGGAGCCGTTCTTGAAATGTTATGGTAATGTGATTCCTGCGTTACTCCGTATTTGGAAAATGAAACCAATCCGAAACATGAAAACACTACATGTGTAATAGGACCGCATGCCCAAAGCCTTGATATATCTATGAACTCTAAGTTACATTTCACTTTGCCGAATTTTGCTTAGAATTTCATCGATATTGATCATTTGAGATCTTAACCCATTTTCATCCAATAAAGAAGGAACTTTCTGTCACTCCTCATTCTACGCTTAAGTTCCTATTGCTCTCATACTGATATGTGAATTTCCATATCGTCGTAGTTGGAGGCAGCTCATGACAGGGAGAAGGATTTGCTATGCGACATATGTGATCTGCAGCGGAGGTAACACTGATGAACGTAGCTGTATGACAAACATATTCAAAAACTAACATTTATCTATTTGCTTCTAAAGTTTGGCTTAATTTGCTACTGTAGGCTCGTGGGAGCCCAAGAAGAGCTTCAAAAGTACAAAACCAAAAATGCATAGATGAACTAAAAATGCAGAATCAACACTGAAGTTAAACGAGGAAGTACATTAAGCCAATCATTGTTTATTTTTTATTTTTTCATTTTTTTTGGTTTTATTCTTTTATTTTTTACTTTTTTGTTTTCAGATTCGTTTTTATGCTTATCTAACCGGCGGTGAGGTGGCCTTTTTAATATTCCTACTCGCTTCAAAGCAATTGCTATATGGTTATACAATATTATGGATTTAAATTAGAGTTAACTTCAGAAGTGGTCCTTCCTAATTTGCTTTTTCCCATGTTACAACCCCACAAATTTATACTCTGATCTTTACATATTTGAGAAAATTTTCACGTCTTCCGTCTTACATTCAGCTAATTGATCATTAAATCCACTAGTACATTCCAACAAACATTCTTGGTAAAATTAATGTTTATCACAATATTTAGAAAATCTTTACCTAGCATATATGAGATCCACCATTAATCATAAGGCTAAAAGCCACCATTAGTCCTTCAACTTTATCATTTGTGCACGATTGGTCCTTCAAGTTTCAAAAATCCATAAGTAGTCCTTCAACTTTATGAGTTCTGCACCATTGGTCCTTCAAGTTTCAAAAGTCCATAAATAGTCCTTCAAGTACACGTCAGCCCTCCATATGAAGTCCTTTTGACAGTAAATATTAAAAGTTAAACGAAATACAAGTTTTATATAATACGAGTAAATTTCACTAGGTACGACTTCTCCGTATTATATGGAGCTAGTATTCCATTTAGCTTTTAACATTTACTGTCAAAAAGACCTCATCTCGAGGGCTGACGTGTACTTGAAGGACTATTTATGCACTTTTAAAACTTGAAGGACCAATCGTGCATAACTCATAAAGTTGAAGGACTATTTATGGACTTTTAAAACTTGAAGGACCAATCATGCACAATTGATAAAGTTGAAGGACCAATGATGGAGTTTAGCCTTAATCATAAATACATGCAAGAATTTGTCTCGTGGTATTTTTTTTGGGGGGGGGGGGTGTTTTACATTGGTATTCTTAACTAAATGTATTTCACATTATTTTTTAAAAAATATGGAACTTATTTTTTTCTTGGTGAAATAGATACTCTTTCCACCCGAAAATGGTCTTGCACTTGAATTTTCATCATCTCCAATATTAAGCTTTGATGAAAATTTAATAATTCAAACTTATGTTTAATAAGGAAACTATTGATTTTCAAAAATGTAAAAGGTACAAGGAAAAGTGATTTTCAAAAAAATGATGAGGTAGTTATTATTCCGTAAAAAAAAATTGATTTTCAAAAAATGTAAAACGTACTGTATACATTGATAGAGAGACTCAGAGAAGCAGTACAGGGAGGAGAGGAAAAGAATGGTACAAGGAAAAGCCAACATTTGGTACTAACCACTGGAAGTGCGGTATCTCTGAGCAAGTGTATTGTGGCTTGTGCACGTGGGACTCGAGTTCTCAGGTTGTAACGGTTTGTTAACCACCCGTAAGCTTAACGGTAGTAGTGTAGCTCGAGAGAGTCTCTTGGGAGACTGGATGTAGCCACACGTTGTGGTGAACTTGTGTATATCGGTGTGTTCTTTCCTTTCGCTTTTTTTACTCCGCTCTTTACTTTATCCCTGCGATTTTTATTCTACGAAAATTTATAAATATTCTCATGCCTCACTATTCACCCCCCTCTAGTGAAGGGCACTTATTCTTACAATTCGTATTGTAGCCTAACTCTTGGAAAAACATAACAATTTGAGAGAATGGTCCATCTTTTCACTACAAGAAACTTGACATTTTGTGGCACCAAATTTTGCCACAAAACACAAAATTAGCCACAATACTTATTTGTAGGAATACTGGAATTTGCCACAAGGTTGCCACAGATACACCGTTACAAAAGGTATTTGTGGCAAATTTAAATTTGCCACAAAAGTCATAGTTTTTGTGGCAAATTTTGGTTCGCCACTAATAATGCTTTGCCACAAAAACCCATGTATAGTGGCAACTTTTAGTTGCCACAAATTATTATTTGCCACAAAAAATTAGATTTAGTAGCAAATTTATAATGCCACAAATTATACTTTGCCACAAAAGTTAGTGTCTAGTAGCAAACTTTAATTGCTACAATTATCATTTTATTGCCTCAAATTAAATTTTCTAGAAATCATTTTTATTTTTATTATTACTATAATTGTTATAATAAATACTATAATTATTTTTATTGTATTTACATTTTACATTTAATGTAATATGTAATGTGAAAAATAGTAATAACTAATATAAAGTTCCAAATTGTTATTAAGCATTTATTAAGTAAAATTCATATGTTTAGATAAAAAACAAGTTAAAATATTTATGCTACTCACTATTCTAAACAATCAAAGGTTCACAATATTTTTTTAGGGGATTAAAGGTTCACAATGTTAATATAACAGAATTTCAAAATAAAAAAATATAGTGCTAAACATGTTTAATGACAAGAGTATCCTAAAATATTCTTCTTATATTCATCTAAGCTCCATCTCTTCATTTCTTGTTGTCACTTCAATTCTATCTTGATTGTAAATCTCAACCAAAGAGAAAAATGAATGTTATTTCTCATATTCAACCTTGATCTACAAATAAAAGACAAAAGTAATAAAAGAAATTAATCAGTAAATGAGACTAATAATTAAATAAGAAACTTTTTTTATATGCCTTAGAATATATGACACATATTAAGTACTTGTCATTAATTAGTATCATGAGCAACATCATATATCCTAGTGTCATGAATTAACTTTGATGTGTTCTAAAGCCAAAGTAAGAAAAAAACTCATCCTTGGTCATAAAGACAATACTAAACCTTACAAATCAATAGGAAAGCCCATACACTTCTCTGCCAAATTTTAGCATGATGAACAAATTGTTTTTGAGTAGTTTCCATAATTCCAAATCAAAAGCAGTTTACAAATACAAAAGCTATGACCAGATCAATACTAGAAATCGAAAGCATGCAACTAGCTCCAGCTTCACCATCCTAAAACAAACAAAAATGCCAATTTCATTTGGCTTAAACCATACTCCATTTTGTATTCAATTTGGGACCAAGATTATACCACAAACTATGTGCAAAATGATCACAATCTATGAAACATATCAAATGACATCTCTCTACACATTCTTAAAAGTCCATAAAGTATAATTTTAATGTGAAGCTCATCATTTTAAGATGTTTAATGTTAGACAAATGGCTTCTAGTGATTGAAGATTTACCATCCTTGAAACTGCAGGAGTACGAGATACTGCCCCAACCCAACACCAATTTTAAACCAACCAAAACAAACCATCACATAAAAAATAATCTAAAATATCTAAAGGAACCCTAGAGATGCTAAAAAGGAAGTAATTAAGACCAAACTGCTTAATCCTTTGGGTCCTAAACGTAGTGGCTACCAGACCCTTGGGTCCGAGAAAGAAGAACAAGTACAAACCTATGAACTCCCTAAACTTGGGAGATTTTAAAATGAAGCGAAATTAACCCCTGGGAAATCAGCTCTCCAACTTGTAACCTCAAGGAAGATTAAATCCCTGAATATCTCCCCAGATACTTTAGTCATGAGTAGATAATAATACAAATAATAGCTAAGCACATTGCCCTCTATTTTAGATAGTAATTATATTTCCAGTAACATATGGATATGCACTCTATTTTAGATAGTAATTATATTTCGAGTAAATAAAAAGCTTATCATTATAATTTGAATGTTGCCTTGTTAGTTGTTGGTGAAGGCTGAGCAAAGGTTATAGATCAGAGACAGAAAAAGGAAGAAGCTAGCCCCATTTAAAATAAAGAACTACTACGCCTTGAAGGACAGGCCAAACAACAAGGCCTAGGTCGTTGGACTAGGGAGCCTGGTGCTTCTGAAGCATCCATCAGGTTACCTCCCTCTGCCATTAGTAACTCTAGTAACTTTGACTCAACAGGTTTCTTGGATACAAACAAAGGGATGACGTTGAAAGCTACTATCAAGCAGTTACGCCATGGAAGCACACTCCGTGTGTATTTACTTCCAGACTTCTACTTTGTCCATATTTATGCAGCTAGAGTTCAGGCTCCTTCCATGGGTAGAAGGGCACCAGTTGACACTTTTATTGAAACTGAGACCACCACGAGTGGAGGAAATGGAGGAAACTGAGCCCCGTGGACCCCTAACATCAGCTCAAAGACTTGCTGCTTCGGCGACTCCCATGACTGAAGTCGCACCTGATTTAATTTATATGGAAGAGAAGCCAAGCATTTTACAGAAATTCACCTATTAAACAGAGATAGGGCGCTAATAAATTTAACCTAATTGGTTCAATCCACTATTATGATGGTGGATCACTAAAAGACCTTGGCTTGGAGCTGGTGCAAGTCTTTATATTATTATAAATATATGGAGCTCTCAACATCAGATTTACAAGTGTTCTATCGAGTAGCTTTGTTGAGCTTATGTTTGTTGAAAATAGAGCTAATGAGTCCTGTTTTTATATCTTTTTGGAAACTTCTTGTGATGTTTTGGTTCATACCGCTACAGATGGCTTCTGAAGTTGTGTTTCCCTTAAGGTGCGAAAGGGTTGATGCATGGCATGTTGATGAGAGTGCTTTTAAGACAACAGATGGGTGGGTTTATGCTCCAAATAGAAGGACACGTCAGGACACTACTACAGATTTAGTATTTGACAGCGCCCTTATGATAGCGGATAACTTAACATCGCTGTGTAAAGTGCATCAACAGTACCACGCTTCAATATAATTCCTAAATTAATTGAGGAGATCTACAGTCCATCCTTTTCCGCCCAAACATATCCCCCCAGACTCCATCAAATCGGCGAACTCAACCACCAAAATATCTCCGCTGATTCTCACTACAATATCGTCACCGACTCGCCCTCCTCGACTTTGTTCCGCACAAATTTATTTGGGTCCGCCGGCCATCTCAATTAACTGACGGAGATCGAAATTGGCGCCCCTTTCTCTACAGCCTCGTCCCAGTGTGACCTTCGATCTTCTCACTGTCCAACCTGAAACTACGGAACCCCTACCAATCTTAAAAATTTAAAACCTTTCAAACACTTTTATTTATCACAATAATATTTTTCAAAACATATACAGTACAGAGTATTCAACAATATTGCGGAAGCGAATTAAATATTGACATATCATAATTCATTTCAAAACTTCTCACATCCATCTCGACAATCTCGTCCCATCTGCCACCAAGATCAGATTGTTCTTTCTGTTTACCTGCGTGTAGCAAATAAAACATACTACACGCTCAGCGGTAAAGCTGAATAAGCATATCTAATGTGTCGAACATCCATATAAACTGAATCTAAATTCATAATCAAATCATTTGATATCATGCACACAATGTTCACTTTAGACATTCACAGTTTTGATATTATTCAGTTCTTATCAACATATTTTATTTAATTCAGTTACTATTTCGATATTGCTCTTAAATTATTCTTAATCTAAGGCCAAATCATAACAACGCTCTTAACTATTCTTAGTCTAGGGCCAGATCATAACAACGCTCTTGGCTATTCTTAGTCTAAGGCCAAATCATAACAACACTCTTAGCTATTCTTAGTCTAGGGCCAGATCATAATTTCATTCTCAGACGCTTAAACTATAATTAGTTTATGGCAACAATTCTCAGACGCTTAAACTATATTTAGTTTAAGGCAACAGTTCTCCGACGCTTAAACTATATTTAGTTTAAGGCAACAGTTCTCCGACGCTTAAACTTTAATTAGTTTAAGGCAAACAATTCTCAGACGCTTAAACTATAATTAGTTTAAGGCAACAAGAAGACAGTAGTTAATCATCATTGAGTCGAAGTATTTCCAAACGAGTGATCCTCTAGTTTGGTCTATGTGTTCCGTTACATTTTTTATTATCAAATCACCAAATATTCAGATTTTCACAATCCCTTCTAATCTAAGATCTATTCTAGAGGTCTTGTAGATAACCTTAATATCAATTATTTAAATGGGTATATCTTAGAGTTCTTCTAGATACTCTTAACAATACACATCATTTCATAATTATCAATATATTCATTTTTAATCATGATTTAATCATTCATAATTATTATTTTAATAAGAATATTCATCAAAGTCTGATAATAAACAACATTAATAATAATTTTAACAATATCCAATAACAAATAGCGGCCTAGCATCGAGTGTTAACACCTTAGCTTACCGTCATACATCACATAAAATTTTATTTGTCAAAACATCATTTTTATTTTATCACATAAAATTTTATTTGTCAAAACATCATTTTTATTTTTAACAATTGTTTTTATGTTGATCATAATTAATTGGTATAAAAAAATAGGCTTTTATAGCTTCAAAAATAGCATTTTTGGACTTAAAAATGTTTGTAACGGTCGACCGTTGGGTTTAAACGGTCATCCGTTCCGTTGGAAAATGCAGGAAGATGAAGGGGTTACTATTCATCATCTTCAACCTCTAACCCATTTTTCTCAAGTTCCATTTTTGGTCACCAAACTTCAATTAAACTATATAGAAATATTCTCCAAGGTTCGTAGATCATTTTAGAGGCATCAATTTGAAGTTTTAACAACAAATTCTAGGTTTATGATTCTTGTTATTCACATATGTCAAACACAAAACTCAACCAAACGACCATTTATGAACGTAGAAACAATCTATACGAACATTCTAGTCACTAGATATATCTACGGGCTTACTTCGAAGTGAAACGATGATTCCGGAGGAAAAACGGCGAAACTTCCGGCGAACACCACGGCTTGCTCCAGCGACTTCACACCAAATTGACAACACCACTGCACTCTTCTTTCAACAAGGAACGAAATAGAAGGAAGATTGAAGAGAATTGGTGAAGAATTGAGGGAATTGGGTCTCCTTTTATAGGGAAGAAGGTGAAGAAAACTCCATGTTTGTGCGTCACTGCAAATCCGCGATCGGCGTAGTGGGAGGAGCGGCGATTCCTACTGATTTTAAACGCAAGTCCCTTATTGGGACTAATTTCAGTTCAAGTTACACTTTTTGGTCCAACTTTCTCCGAATTGAAATTCGTTTGCACCGTTGCGATCAGACAGTCAAACTCTACACAAGGATATACTTTTTATTTTTATTTGAAATACTTTTTCCGACAGTGTAATTTTGGGTGTTGACTTTGACAGAGTCAAAATTGAATTAATTGATGCTCTCGTTCCTGTTCCACCGCCTGCCGATGATCATTCTTTGGGAGCTTTGGACGCACTATGCTGCGTGCAAGTATGGGGATGCTCGTCCCAACTTCGCACGCATTATTTTCTGGGTGGCTACGGCGGTGTCCGAGTGCATCTATCGTCGCTGGCCTAGCGGGGGTCTTTTGCCTCCCCGATGGTCGGCAATTATGGAGCACGTTCGACGAGGCTCTAGACGCAGGAGGGTGGTGCCGATTCGGTGGGTCCCACCGCCGGGTGGCACCATCAAGGTGAATGTGGCGAGGGCCCCGCTCCGTGGGGCTAATGCAGCAATCGTGCGTGAATCGACAGGTAAGTTTCTTTATGCTCTCTCTTCTATTGCATTTAGGTGGGACCCAGTGGAACGGGGAGGGATGGACGTGCTTCTTCGGTGTATTCAGTGGTGTATATCCCAGTCTTTCCTGCGTATCCACGTGGAGTCCCATCATTCAGAGTTAGCTTGTTTCTTTAAAGAGGGTACCCCGTGGTACCTTCATGATGTTTATGCTAGACTGCGTTTCCTCTGTTCTATCGCGACGGTCCAGTGGTTTCATTGTGACGTTCGGGCGAATGGCCCGAGGACTGAGTTGGCATTGTGGGGCGTAGATAGTACAGAGGGAACGCGGGAGTTTACTAATATGCAGGACCTTGACACTCGGGTATGATCTCTCCTCCCTATGGACGATCTGCCTTTCTTTCGCATTGATGAGGATGGGGGTAACCCCTAGTTGCACTTATGTGAGTGCCTTAACGACCGCGTCTGCGGTTAAGAGGCGCACGTATGTACCCGCGAGTAAAGGGTGCCCGTTGGTTCCCGCGGTTTGGGGCCTCGTGTTGTACCGACGGTGAACGGTGCCTCTGTGAGATGATGGGCGTAGTCTTGCAGAGTTTCTTTCGTCCCCGTCGACTCCTGCGGCTCCTGGGGTACGTAGGCGCTAGCGTTTGAGGTTTTTAGCACCCGTAGTTGCCAGCGGTATTTGGCATCCTAGCCCAGGCAGAGGTGGCTTTTTAATTTAAAAATTACTCCCTCTGTCCCCCATTGATCTTTCCAATAGCCCTTTTTCTTTGTCCACAATAGATCTTCTCATTTCATTTTTTAATAATTAAAATACCACAACTACCCCCACTTACTTTATTTATTACACCTCACCCACCTCATTTAATACACTCCACCCATTTTTCATTAAGGGTATTATGGTAAACTTTCACCTTTTTTCAACTCTCCTTAAAAACCACCAAAAGTCAAAATGAGAACATCTTAGGGGGACGGAGGGAGTAAAATTTATAAAAAAAATTTAAAAAAAATTGAATTAATTGATATGTAATTNATTTAAAATGTCATAACTGAACCTCTGTACATCAGATTTATTCATAAAATATACCGTTGGATTCGTCTCTTCGAGACCTATTCATAAAAGTCAATCTTAACAAAAATCATTGAATCTAAAAATTCATTCGTTTTTGGTCAAACATAGAAATAATGCTTTGTTGAGTTAAAATATTGTTTCTAAAAATACTTTTATAATAGAATAACTTTTAGACCATGTTTTGGGGCGTTACATTTCTTCCCTCCTTAAAGGAATTTCGTCATCGAAATTCATCTAAGGTTCAACTATCAATAACTTGTTGTATTCTCGTTTAATCATGACGTCGTCATGTTCACTCATTATGATTACGTCATTATCCCTATAAACACGTATTTTCAAACCGTAGATGTCATCACACTCGTTCTATCTTCGAGAGATTAACAAAGGTATTCATCAATCCATTTACATATTCCTGTTTGAAGTCAATGTCAGTAAATAAGTTTCCTTTGGATCATAATTTTGGAGTATACTCAACATATCCACAAATTTCGTTTGTACGTCATTGGTCAAAAATATTCTTTTCTCAATTGAAAAGTTCTTCAATAGCCTTTGTATCCGATAGGAATAGTTGGAAATTTGGAGGTTATTTCAATTCATACGTTGTACGGTTGTAACGTAATTTTTTTTAAGTTACTCAAGGGGTCGTTGTCTTAGGGAATTAGTCAATTTGACTTTTCGTCATGAATTTGAACCTATTTTACGACAGCGAATCTAACTATTCACGAGTTCTCAATATGTCATATCGTTAGTAGACTGTAGTATTAGCGAGTACATCATTGTCAGTAGGTAAATCGAATCCATCTTTGATGTACAAATTTCGACTAAGGATAACTATCCTTTTTCTCAAAGGTCAAGCTTCAGAGCCTATATATCACGATTGTGGCAAGAGTATCTCACATTCTTACATTATGGAAGGAACTTCTCAAGCTCTTTCTTATACCATATGATTCGTTGGTCTACTTGGTAGTCATGCTCTTGGTAGAAATCCAAAGTTCATGGCTACAGCGGTAGATTTAGGAAGGGAATTGCTAAGACGAAAATTAGACTTACCTACGGTGGAGGTAATGTCGGCCTTCAAGGAGCTGTTGCTTCAACAATTTATACCAATGGTGGTATAGTTAGAGGCTTCATACCAGGGTACATAGCAGCACGACAGGTCTATGGTCCTACATACGGTGCAGAGTACACCGTTTCCAGCAATTACTACAAGTACTTCGAGATGAATCATGTGGTGGAGGCTTTCATCATACTTCCCGGAGGAATTGATACTATGGAAGGTTTGTTCACCTTAATTTCATGGGCATCTGAAGCGTTGCACAATAAACCCATTGGTATCTTGAACATTGATGGTTATTTTAATAATCTAATCAAATTTCTAGATTATGCGGTGAGGCAGAACTTCATGGCTTCCCGTCAGAGGAAACTTTTCATTTCTTCTTTCTTCGTTGATGAGCTTCTAGACAGACTAGAGTTTGCTAAAGCTTTTCTGGGTCCTGGGGCTAGTTACGACGAGTTTATAAATCCTGAGAGATTGGATTTAGAGTTACATTTGTAATATTACTTCATGTAATCCCAGTTCTATTTGTATTGGAATAATATTGTCCATGAACATTATGAGTTAACCACAAATATTATTCTAAGCTGCATGGCCAGTGCAAGTCAGAAAAATATTTATTTTCAACATCAGAATGCATCATGTAAATATCAAACATTTTCTCAAGATGGGTCAAATGAAAGATTTCATTATACAAGGTGTTCAACATACGTAGATTCAAGCAAATACGAATATTTTTGGGATACAAATTGAAAGATGATTTATTGTTTAGAAAGAGTTGTCACTATAGTAAACATTCATTCTTCAATACATTCTCGAACTTTTTCTTGACAATAGTTTGACATTACACGAGCATCATTCTTGGTTTGAATAGCTTTTAGAACGTTGACTTCTTCCTGAACGAACAGATTGATTTTGAACAGAAGTAATCGAGTATGGTCCAGGGTTAGTGGGACATTCCCTTCGGAAATGTCCAGGTTTGCCACAACCTAGACATAATCCTTGCGTAAACCGACATTCTCCTGGATGGTGTCTTTTACAAATATTACACTTTGGATGTTTCCATACTCTCATTTTGTTTACGGATCTCGTCGTTTGATTTGTCATTGACTTTCCCTTTTTCGAGTGTAGGGCACTTTTGATTTCTTGCAGGGGTCTCTTCCCACTTGTATTTGGTAGTACATTTGAATTGGCATTCTCAGTCTTTAGACTTTCATAGTAATCACTTAGATCCTTTTCAGCTTTGGAGATTAGATCGTATGCCTCAATAAAATCCACAGTTTCAATGGTAGATACGTGCGGCCTGAGATCATGTCGAAGTCTTTTGCGAAACTCTTCAATGCGGTCAGCCGCCGTGCTCACCAGCGTGGGTGCAAATTCAGCGAGATGGACAAATCTTTTTCCATATTCAGGGAGTGCCATATCTCCTTGATTTAATTCAACAAATTCAGCACGCTTCTCTTCACGGAATCGGGCTGGAATATATTCTTTCTTGAATGCCCAATCAAAGAATTCCCAATCATTTTAGAGGCATTAATTCGAAGTTTTAACAACAAATTCAAGGTTTATGATTCTTGGTTCTTCACATATGTCAAACACAAAACTCAACCAAACGACCATTTATGAACGTAGAAACGATCTATACGAACATTCTAGTCACTAGATATATCTACGGGCTTACTTCGAAGTGAAACGATGATTCCGGCGGAAAAACGGCGAAACTTCCAGCGAACACCACAGCTTGCTCCAGTGACTTCACACCAAATTGACAACACCACTGCACTCTACTTTCAACAAGGAACGAAATAGAAGGAAGATTGAAGAGAATTGGTGAAGAATTGAGGAAATTGGGTCTCCTTTTATAGGGAAGAAGGTGAAGAAAACTCCATGTTTGTGCGTCACTGCAAATCCGCGATCGGCGTAGTGGGAGGAGCGGTGATTCCAACTGATTTTTAACGCAAATTAAAGTCCCTGATTGGGACTAATTTCAGTTCCAGTTGGGGTACACTTTTTGGTCCAACTTTCTCCGATTTGAAATCCGTTTGCAGCGTTGCGATCAGACAGTCAAACTCTACACAAGGATATAATTTTTATATTTATTTGAAATACTTTTTCCGACAGTGTAATTTTGGGTGTTGACTTTGACAGAGTCAAAATTGTATTAATTGATATGTAATTAAAATTAGTCTCATATTCAATCAATATTATTAAATATAAATATTTATTTCAATAAATCATTTTACAAAAGTTCACATCTTTGACTTTTTCTCATTTTTATACAAATTACATATTTAAAATGTCATAACTGAATCTCTGTACATCAGATTTATTCATAAAATATACCGTTGGATTTGTCTCTCCGAGACCTAATTTTAGGTTTGGTATTGTTTTCTTCTAATGCAGGGAGTAAATTTATTTTTATTTCATTTTTTTTGTCCCTAAAATTATCATCAGTGATAGTAATTTATTGATATGATTTTATACAAGGTGCCTAGGCAGTAATTTTATTATTAGTGTGCTATGTGTTATCAGAAGTTTTCAGGATTGCAAGCAGTTTGATGTTAAGTTTTTGGACAGATGAAAGCCATTCAACCAAATACAGTTCTGGATTCTACAACCTGATATATTCACTTCTGTCATTTGCTCAAGTATGTCATCTGGATTTTTTATGTTGAAGTTTAATTATTCAATACATTTTTATCCAGCATGTTCTTGTAGGGTTTCCTATATCTTTTTAAGATTCTAAGTTTGTTATGCTTATATATTTGAGGGGAAAGAACACTGCAAATTTTAAAGAGTAAAAAGAAATAAAATGTCTCACTAAAATGATTTCATTTCAGGTTTTGGCAACGCTCATCAATTCCTTTTGGTTGATCACAACAAGCCTTTCTGCTGCCAAAAGGTTACATGACGCTATGTTGAAGTCCATTTTGAGATCTCCAATGGTCTTCTTTCATACAAATCCACCTGGAAGGATCATCAATAGGTTTGCTAAGGACCTTGGTGACATAGACCGCAATGTTGCACCATTTGCCCATATGTTTATGGGCCAAGTTTCTCAACTCATTTACACATTTGTGCTGATTGGGTTGGTTAGCATAATGTCTTTATGGGTCATACTCCCACTTCTAGTTATGTTTTATGACGCCTACTTGTATTATCAGGTGCGCTACTCTTTAACTTTGCTCTTCGCATATCTTATATTTGAAAGCTAGACATCATCTGCTCTAGATTGTAGTGAAATGAGAAAATCACTAATTGCTGTTATGGAAAACTATCCTGTTTATAACAGAGCACTGCCTGTGAAGTGAAGCGTCTGGATTCAATGTCCAGATCTCCTGTGTATGCACAATTTGGTGAAGCTCTCAATGGTCTCCCAACTATTCGTGCATATAAAGCTTACGACCGGATGGCCACCATTAATGGGAACGCTATGGACAATAACGTTAGATACACTCTTGTGAATATGGGTGGAAGCCGTTGGCTTGCTATCTGTCTTGAAACTCTATGAGGCATTATGATTTGGCTCACTATAAAATTTGCTGTGATGCAGAATGGAAGGGACAAAAACCAGGAGGCTTTGCATGGTATATCATTTAAAATCCGTCCCAGTGACAAGGTTGGAGTGGTTGGGAGAACAGGAGCTGGTAAAACTAGCATGTTTAATGCTTTATTCCGACTCGTGGAACTAGAAAGTGGAAAGATTATGATTGATTTTGAAAGATGCTTGGGCTGGGAAGCTACTTGGATGAAGTCTACTAGAATGCTGTTTTGTTCTAAATTGTTATGTATTGTCCTAATTTGGTTTATAGGATGCTTTCACAACATCATACTTTTTATTGTACAGGTTTTGGGATGGACCCCTTTTTCATAATATGAAAAGAACTTTTATTTCGCTTAATATATATACTTTGTATATTGTTAAAGAACTGTTATAGCTCAATAAAATGTGTCTGATTGTAATTTTGTAGTAGGTGTAGTATCAAATTAGATATTATTTTTTTAAAAAAAATTGTTTTAGACAGCGGATATTTATCCGCTATGAGAAGTGGACTTTAGACAGCGGATAAATATCCGCTGTCTAAAATACTGAGTTTAGACAACGGATATTTATCTGCTGTTTAAAGTCTGGACTTTTCCCACCGGGGGCATATACATCGGTTAAGAACCGCTGTGTAAAGCTTAATTTATCCGCTAGGAAAGGGGATATGTGTAGTAGTGGGATTAGAGTTACAAAAGTGGCCAAATTTAAGGTACATGCCCTACTTTGTCTCATATGAATGAAGACACTTTAAACACTTGTTATGGACGAGTCTATCAAGGATAAAAGGAGGGTTTCGAATTATCTATAACTAGTTATAGCACTTATATGTCTAGGGTAAAAGTCTTATTGAAGACTAGTGGGAGCACAATAAGTATGTTGCATATCATTGACAAAATAAATTTAAAAAATTATCAGTCATGAATGCAAATAGTAGTTATATGCTCAAGTATGAAGAATCCATATAGATGGATCAAAGAACTAGGAATAATCTAAGACCAGTACATACATGGAAGTTTTTTGAAACTTGCATGAATCTCAAGGTAAAGCCTTTTTGGAGACTCACTCTGTAAAAGGACTGCATGGAAATCGTTCCATGGAGTACCATGAGATATGGACTTGATTCATTCTAAAAGGATATATTTTATATATGTCTAAGCTGAGCTAAGAGTAGTAGTCAACTTTGTAAAAGTTAACTTTTGATTCTTAAGAAGAGACAAAAGAGTATGGTTTTCTAAAATGGCTTAAGTGTGAATGTTACACACAAAATAGCTCATTTAGAACAACCATAAGGTAGGTTGAAATTAACAAAACATATATTAACAAGTATTGACATGGTGTCATACGCAAGATAAATTTGCAACTTTGGAAGTAGCAAAGAGGAAGATATTTTGGTTTTGTAGCTTCTCAAAAGGATAGTGTTGCTCCCAGCATAAGAAACCAATATGTCGTTGTACTGACAACGATAGGGTTACTACAGGAGCTAAAGAAGCTACACCTAGAAACTAAGACATCATTAGATCTCACCACATTATACGAACAGTCGTAAAATGAAAGTATCAAATTTGCAAGATAGAAAAGGATAAAACAATCTCTTAACCTATTGATCTAGGCTTTGGGAAAACCTATACACGAGGGTCACACTTCGTGCATGAGGCATACATGGAAACCATAATTGGCCTTAGTGCTAGTGGGAGATTGTTGAATATAAGTGAGCCCTAGAGGCCAACTTATGATTCCATATCTATATTATATCAAGAACAATAGGCCCTAAAGATTGTTTAAGTTGTCTCATGTGATTTAAACATAGCTTTAGTCCATAGAGTAGGCGCTCTAGTAACATAGATGAGAACCACGACGTTCTAATTATGAGGCTGTTACAAAGATAGAGGCTACGTCTAAAATATCCTTAGTCGAATATTATGACAATACGGACATCATAATATATCAAGACTAATATGTATGAGAAGAGATAGTTGCGTCTCATAGGCTATAGATAAAGTGTTATCTGAATCTATACGTAGGCAACCATATTGGATATGTTGCTGGATTGACCCGCTATGAGAATAATATATGGGTTTTGAGTTAAAGTGTTAATATTATTCTCATGCGACCATTAGTATAACTATCCTTTGACTTGAAGTCATTACATTCTTTGGTAAGTTGAGTTGTATACTTTGAGGCATGATTTATGCCATCTGAAATATTGGTGGATGTACAATTATGTTTTGGGTATGCAATGAAACTTAAGCGAAGATGTGAATGACGTAGACAGAATTTATCCCTTCTTTAATGAAGTATAATATCTTAGGGCCCACTGATTGATGTGACTTGGGAAGTGCATGGTCATGCCCAAATAAATATGTTATTTGAATCCCACAAGTCAATCGAAGAATCAGTAAACCATCGATTTAACTTTGACAAGGTGACACACCCCATACCTTGTGTTAAATCAAGATATTAGTGATAAAGGGATAAGGGTTATACAAAAAGGATGTGTCGTTGAAGGAATTGTTCCAAGAGCTTTAATCTATAATTTGGGGGTGATAATGTGTTGCTAGATACCGCTTATTACTTGTAGTATTTAATCGATACTATGGCCAATTTTATAGATGCCTAGAATAGGGTCACACACATAGAACATATGAAAGTGTAGAATATTTAAGTGGAGTAAAGTTGCACTTTATTTATATATTGTGTATATTATATTGTTTGACAATATGATTAAATATTTATATTTGGACATTTTAATTATGTGATAATTAAGTTTGTCAAATATATTTAATAATAATAAAGTATATATATTCGGATATATATCTGTGAATAATAAATTGTTTATTATTTTATTTTATTATTATTAAGGCACGAAATATATATATTTGTATATATATATTTAATATTTGGACATTTTAATTATATGATAATTAAGTTTGTCAAATATTATTTAAGGAACAAAATATAACATAATTATATATATATATGTGTGTGTGTGTGTGTGTGTGTGTTCGGCGTATATATATATATGTGTGTGTGTGTGTGTGTGTGTGTGTGTGTGTGTGTTTCGTATATATGTATATATATATATATATATATATATAATAAATGTTGTATTATTTATTTTGTGTTAATTATATGATAATTAGAGTTGACAAAATAAATTGGAAGCTTCCTTAAAGTGCCATTTGAAATTTTCTAAGTAGAATAGGAATGGGATTTGATTTCCTTCCTAAACTCTAAAAGGTACATTCCTATTAGGAATAGGAGTGGGGATAATGCTCCTTATAAATAGGAGATCATCCCACCCCTTTTGAATGAGAGAATTTCGGCCCTAGCAAGTTTTTAAGAGAGAAAAATTTGTTTTGTTCTCTTAATACTTTACACCAAATATTTTATATTTTATAAATATTCTAGAGTAAAATTACTAGCATAATTTTCTCTAGAACACTCTTCGTTGTTCGTGTGTCTCAACTGGAGGGCATATACTTTTGTGGCTAGCTCTTGGATCAATCCATCAACCAACACATATCGTTGCTTGCTCGCCAAGAAAGGTATATTTCTAAACAATAACTTATAATAATCATAAGAGGTCCTGGGTGGATCTACGTTTGGACCTAAAATTTTTATATTTCCGCTGCCCTATCCAAGCATAGAACCAAACAACAGCATCCTCTGTCACAACCTGTTGATCTTATATTGTTACAGGTCGTACGCTGAGGGTAGTGAAACATTCAAAGAGTATCATTGAAAAATTCAAGGCGTGAAGAATGGCATGGAACAAGACCAAAAGACTCAAGGACAAGATCAAGAATTCAAGACTTAGTTGAGTCGGTCTTATTGTGATCAAAACCGACAATCAATTCAAGTCTCGGTTCTCAAAGAGTCAAAATAATTTTACGAAATCATAAAGCGTTTTTTTGTGCATCAAAATAAACGTTTTTAATAAATGTTTATTAAAATCCCTGGTCCTTGCCCAGATCAAAAACCACCTCGGTCGGCGTTCGGCGTTCGGCATCAGCGTCCAGCATTCGGGGTTTCGGCGCTCGGGTTTCGGCGTCCAAACCAACTCGGTGGTTTTCAATAATTTAAACCTCGCTTTTACCTCTGGGCATATTTAAAAGGTTCCCAAATAATTATTTTGTAAAAACCACTTTTGTATCTTGGTCAATCGGTCTAACACGAGAAAAACAATCAGAACCGTACAATTGTGTTAAACGACCTTGAAGACTTGGTTTTTATTAAACAAGTCTTGGTTTCACTATTTTATACCATATACAATCTTTTTCAAACTTGGTTTTTACTTTTGTGAACACTTCGTTTTTTGGACCTCGGTTTTTCAAAACGGGTTTTCGCCGGCTGGATCTTAGCTGGGTGATAATCGATTATCACCTTATTGACAATCAACTATCAGCCTCTGCAGATTTGAACTTAAAAGTTCTGAAGTATGCAATAATCGATTGTCACTTTTGTAACAATCGATTATCAAGGTCTGCAGCCAAAACCCAGGAACTTCTGAGAGGACCAATAGTCGATTGACACTAGTTGACAATCGATTATCTGGGTTACCATTTTCCTCCAACGGATAGAATTTTAAATTTTTGGACAGGGAATCTTTTGATAATCGATTATCAAGGCTAGACAATCGACAATCACCCCGCATCTCTGAAAATTTTGTCCTGATCCTGTTGGAAATTTTAGCAACGGGTTTATCCCATTTTAGGCTATACAATGGCACCCAAATCCTCTCATTTTACACACAATTCTTCCACATTTCAATACTCTTTCATTGCATAAGCATTCCTATTTTTCTTAGCTATTTGAGAGCCAATTCTTGAAGAAATTGTCGTGTTCTTGAGCGTTTACTAGTTCACTCATATCTACTCTTTGTGAGAGTTTTATTCCTGAGTATTTAAGTGTTTCTATACACTTTAAGGGAGGTTGTTCCCTTGTTGTAAACTCGAAGGAAGTTCTTTGATCCTTCGTGAGAAGTCTTGGAGTGTGGTATCTCCGAGCAAAGGCGTTGAGGCTTGTGTGACTCGGGTTCTCAAGTTGTATTGGTTTGTTGAGCACCCTTAAGCTTAACGGAGTTAGTGTAGCTCGAGAGAGTCTCTCGGAGGCTGGATTAGCCACACGTTGTGGTGAACCAGGATAAAATTTGGTGTGCTCCTTCCTTACGCTCTTTACTTTATCGGTCTCGTTTTTAATTTCCTGTGATTTTGTTTTAAACGCTATTCACCCCCCCTCTAGCGTTGGGCCTATATTCTAACATTTTTTAGTTGTGTGTTGTTTAGAAAGTGTATTAAGGGGAATAAAAAATATGGTACACAATTATACAAAGAATAAATGGTTTTTTACACTTTTAGTTTTGAACTTGGCAGTGCAGCAGGTTGGCAACACTGCAACAACATACGGAGTACTTCGTA